CCCCCCCCCGGGGGAAGGAAAGGGTGGTGGGCGTGTCTCAATTCTCAACAGCTACATGGCATTATATTTCAGTTTTTTCATGCCAGAAGGCACATGTGTATGAGAACACAAAGTCATGTTGCTAACACTGATACACAGTAGTATATGAATGACATTCGTTCCTCAAGATGTTCAAATTATGACTTCCAGATGGCAGGAGAATGCAGACTAAACATTCATGATTGCAGTGGTATTGTATACAGAGGCAAGTAGTGACATATGACCAACTTATAATCGGAGAGACGCGAAAGAAACTTTGCAAACATATATTGACATTTGTCTGTGGAAGAACATACTCAGTGTCAATTATATATTGATGTATGATGGGAAGGGTTAAGGCATCTACAAGCAGAATTCATATGGATCAAATACTACTCATGAGGTGGAAGCCAAACCTCAAGCAGTCATCTTTATGCATTGCTTGACAGTCCATGGCAACAGGTTAAACTATGTATGTCATTAAGGTGTAAAATGATAATCTGGGACGTGACTCCCTACCTTGAAGATGGAGGTAATAAGCTCCTCCAAAACATTGGTTTTTTATCTACTAGACTACTCTCTTGTGTCCTGAAGATAGAGACAGCAGATTCCTCCAAAACAGCTATCTACCAGACTACCCCATACCCTGAAGATGAGCCCTGTTAGACTAACCTCTTTTACCCTTAAGATGGAGGCAGTCTTGCATTTATCACAACTGCATCTTTTGTTGGAATTATTTGATGTGGTGATTAGTGAAATACATGCAAAAATAATTTCTTAATGTAGGTTGTTGGGATAACTTTGCAGTAGTTAATTTACACCTGCAGTGTAAAGGAACATTTATATGAAAATATTTGGGACCTATCTTGTGCAGTCATCCAGTCAAGATCATTTTATGTATGGCTGTATGGCTTTTATAATTGCTTGGGACATTGGTTATATGAAAATGTGTTTATTTTGCAGGGGGAGTGCATGATTTATTGACTGGCAGTAATTAGGCCTCTTCCTGTATTTCAGGCTGATATTTGGTCACTTGGATGTACGGTTGTGGAAATGGCCACAGGGAAACCTCCATTCATTGAACTGGGATCTCCACAAGCTGCAGTCTTCAAAGTATGCCTTAAAATGTATTTTTAATTTTTAATTTTGCTGTAGATGCAAAGATTTGTGTAATTTATTTAGTAGTGTTAAGATTAACTTAATATTTCTTTATGAGGTGAGTGGTTTTTCTAGAAGAGTTTTACCTTTTGGTATATAACACTGCATTGAGTGACTACAGTTGTTTTGAAGGAACTTGTTACCTTAGTCTCCAGGGTCAAACAGTAAGTCATGTAAGAAATCAGCAAGAAGCAGGCAGCCAGTGAAGTTTGCTGGTTCCTTGTTCCACTGTTTAACCATGAAGATAGAGGCAGCATGTTCCTCCAAAACATTGGTTGACTCTCAGCAGATTACATTATATCCCAGAAAATAGAAATCTTCATAAACACCATTGTGAGAACTCTCAAGTCCTGCGTGGTTTTTCTAGAGTTATTTTTATTGTTATAGGTGGGCTATTATAAGATCCATCCAGAAATTCCAACAGAACTTTCAGAGAAGGCCAAGAATTTCATTTTATGTTGCTTTGAAGCAGACCCAGATAAAAGAGCAACTGCTGCAGAATTGCTGGAGGACACCTTTTTGACCGAGTAAGTTTTTCACTTCTTGTGCTAAATATGTCATATTATATGTAAAGCAGTAAGAAACTTGGTGTGTTATTTGGCACATCAAAATTTGTCTCCTATTAAAGTCCATAAAAAAAAAGTTTTCTTTTCCCCAGTACTACTTAGATAGCTTCAGGGTTTTCATGAATATGTAGATATGCAAACACACATAAATTCAAAATGCTGAAGAGAATGTCAGCACCGTTGTGCCATCTACCATATGAATGAAGCTTGTGCCATCAGCAGTGACACACACAAGTACCTCATTATCATAAGTCACTGGATTCTGTTTTCAACATACTTCCTGTATTCATTTGCCATTGGGAAATTGAAATGTGAACAGGACTTTGCCTACACAATGTATGGTGTACCTCGGTTCACTGAGTAGATGGACTTCTCCTAGTTGCAGTGAAAACCCCGCTGAAGAAAGCTGTAGCAGAATGACTTTCCTTGCTCTAAAATGAGGTTTTAAGTAAATGCAGGTTTTGCAAAAACGTTCATATTTTTATAATTACTGCATATTGTCATTTGTATTAGTGACTGTAGACAGGGTTTGGATTGGTGAATAGATTTATTGGACACTCACAGGTTGTAACCACAGATAATTATAACACTAAAGATTACTATAAGTCTGGCACACAAAAAAGTCTTCAGTGTATGCTGCTGCTTGCTTGGGTATGAAGCGTATCTAGTTAACACTTTAGAGCTGAATACTCAACTAATGAACTGCGTTCTGAATTCTCTTATGAATGAATTTCGATTGGCTGGAAAATAAGTCACCATGTTGAACAGTTCCTCTGTTATTGCATACTTATCCATTGCTGCAGGAACCATGTGTTAATTCCATAGCAACACTTTGTTTTCCAGATGTTTACAATTTCCAATTTTCATATCCATGGAAACCACGTTCCATAACCATTTGGTTTCCAAGAATCAAACACTCTGTGGCAATGTGTTTGCCAGTTCATTTCCTAGAAACAGCCCACATGTCACAATATATTTATGATGGACTAACCTCTTTATATAAGCAGTTAAAGAAGGTTACAGGTTTGATTCGGAATGAGGTCATTGGATTTTTCAGTTGACCGAACCCTTCCAGGTTTGATGAGGAATACTGAAAACTTAAAATTTAGAAGTAATTTGTTTCAGAAAGAAGAAACCATCTCGGCTTGCAGCCCCTCAGGAGTTCAGTCGTAGTATTTCTGTGCCTGCAGACAGAGTGGGAGGACGCTATGATAGAACTACTAATCATACTACATGTCATGGCCAGAATTCTCCAGACGAAATGTAAGAATTATCAAAATGCCACTTGAATTTTATATTGCATGTGTGTTTAAGAATAACCAGATTATGCTATTGTGACAACACTGGTGACTGCTTTTTTGGATTATCCCCCGTTCTTTTCATGAAGACCCCAAAAGAAAATCTCCATATGGCAAAATTCAGGGTATCTAGTCCTTCTTTCTAGGCTTTCACCATGTTGAGGTTTTGGGGTATATAAGCATACTGTAAGAGTGTATCTTGCTCTCAGTGAAGTGACTGGCCAGGGTTCATTTCTGGGAAGGGAATAGTACTACTGCACTGCTGTTTCCAGCCTAGATTTAGGTCTCATACCACCCAGCTTTGTATGCAAGGATACCAGGGTTTCTTTTCTCAGAAGGGTAATTGTGAAGCTGACCCCTCACCTCCATGTAGTGCTGAAACACAAAATGCTTGGAACTGTACCTGTATGCTCCCTATATGCATTTGTGGCACAGTGCTTGGTCACAGAGGAGAAGCTTGTGAGTTTTTACTTTTGTAGTATCTTTCCAGGACCAGACGGCTTCTAATGCTGAAACAGTAAAATGTTAAATAATGCTTCTTAAATATGAATTGTGATGATACTTTGTATAAAGTTCACGAACTCGCCACCGTGTGCTAGCTACGGCAGCAGTGGACAGAAACCTCAGTATGGTTTGATGATGGCCGCACCATAGTTCAAGCGGTTTGTTGCTGGCTTCCCACCATGGCTGACCGGGTTCAGTCCTGGGTCTGGTGAAGTGGGATTTGTGGTGGACAGAGTGGCGCTGGGGCGGGTTTTCTCTGAGTACTTCGGCTCCCCTGCCAATCTTCATTCCACCAAATTATCCATCATCATAATCACCCAGAGCAGGTACAATAGGCCAATTAGTGGCCGCCATGACGAGTGGACCCAGTTGGACTCCACTCCCCACTAAGCGATAAAAAATGGTTTGATGATTTTGGCATATAAGCTTTTCACAGCTCTGTTGTTTTTGATCAATGGCAGTCTCTGAGTAGCGTCTATTATTGTCTGAGTGTGTTCCGGTGTGCCGTCACAAGCATGTCAGAGCTTGAATTTGAACAACAAACGTTAAATTTCTCTTTTAAACTTGGCAAAAGTGGAAGTGAAATCAGAGATATATTAGTGAAAGTTATGGGAATAAAGCTATGAAGAAAACTGCTCTTTACAAGTGCATGACACGTTTTTCTGAGGGAAGAGAAACTGTCACTGTCAAAGAGAGATCAGGACAGCCAGCAGTGAGCAGAGATGAAGAAAACATTGCAAAAGTTCCACAAATTGTGTTTTAAAATCATCAGCTGACTGTCAGGAGAGAACATTGACAGAAAAACAAAATCTTGACTGAAGATCTTGACATGAGGAAGGTTTTTTGCAAAAATGGTTCCAAAGGAGCTCACCAAAAAACACCATCTCTGACGGAGTTTTTAGCTAATAAACAAATAACTGTGCTGGAACACCCTTCCTATTCACCAGATCTAGCCCCCAATGACTTTTTTCTGTTCCTGAAGATAAAGGAAATATTGAAAGGTAGGCAATTTGATGACATTGATGACATCAGGAGTAATACAACAGCAGCTCTGAAGGCCATTCCACAGAACTAATTCCAAAATTGTTTTGAAAGATGGACTGGGCGCTAGCATCGATGCATTGCTTCCCAAGGGGAGTACTTTGAAGGTGACCCGCAGTGATATTGAGCAATGAGGTGTGTAGCACTTTTACCTCGATTAGTTCGCAAACTTTATTGTCAGACTACATAAGACACGTCATTAAGTATTATAATGTACTTCCACTGGTAACATTTTAAGTTGGTCATAGTTGTGATTAACATTGCTCAGATACCTTTCTTTATTTCCCTGCATATTTGTGTCTAGTGAATTTTCCAGTTAAGATTCGAGGTTATTCTAGAACACAGTGGAATTAATGTTATACTGCGGAAAACCTAGGGGGTATGTGGTAGTGTAGTTGGTTGAGGAACTGCGATACAAGCCAGAATTTCGCATGTTCATTTCCTGATGAGGTCATTGAATTTTTCAGCTGACCTAATCCTTCGAGCTTCACTGTGTCTCTATGGTCAGCTCAACAACTAACAGAAATGAGTACCAGGAATCTTCCTGGGGGTAAAGCTGACAGTCTCACCACCATCTGTGGGCTGATTGCCTAGAAAATGTAGGAACTTTGACATCTCACTACCCTGTGCCTCCATGGCCTGTTACAGGATAGCTTTACCTTTTTTTTTTTTCTTTTTTCTTTTTTTAAATAGGAAAACCTTAAATGAAGGAAATTTAACCTGGAGATATTGGGATTATTTTCATCCTCCTCCTGAACTCTCCCTCAACCAAGAAAATCAAGGGTAAAAGCATGATATTTCATTTTTTCAGGAATTTCTGTTTAGAAAGTAGAGATATGTAAATCATGGAGGCATGAATTATATGTGTGAATGTGGTATTACTGCAGGTACATTTTTTGAACTTTTAACAGTTGTAGTCCTAATGACAGTAATTTGTTTTTCACATTTTCATTATGAAATTTGTAATTGTAATTAGTGTAATGAGAAATCAGTGACATATTAAGGAAAAGTGACTTAAAATATATAGTATCATTATGCTAGAACAAATACGCAGTCATGTATTCAGTACCCTTAAGTGCTATATATAATTTTTTTACACCATTTTGTAACTTTCAGTGATGGGAAAGTAAGTTCTTCATTTTTGTTCTCTTTAAATGTTGTATTAGTGAGTTAAAAATCCATAACTTATCATTTACTGCAGACAGCTTATTTAATCTGTATGAAATGTTTGAAAAGATGGTTGGTGTCTGATGCTGCACTTTGACATTTAAGTCATTTGTGCTTCTAACCGTAACTGACTGGCATTTTGTAACTCATTTCTATCCAGACACCACTTGGACAGGTTACATTATACAGCAAATTTTAGTTGGGTTACATGATGTCAAGTTCTTCCCTCTCTTATCGACCAGCGGTCCCTGCAGTCATGTGATCGCAGCAGCATCTAGGAACAGTGTAGGGATATTTGTGGGTGACCAGGAATAGTGTCTTAAGTATGCCTTTACATACCTCTTATCATGAATAAAATGTTTTACATGCTGTAAATGTATGTCATGGGACTCCCAGTCCTACTTCCCTTTCGTATGCTTGAAAAGATGATAGTAAAACAATGATACAAGGCCTGTTCGTAATGCATATGCATATACTGCTCTCATACTGTGACATGGATTGATGTGCTCGAAAGCATTCTTATGTGCTTAGTCATACGTGCATTAGTAATATGCTTCTGTTGAGTTAGGCGCCACTGTGGGGCCTGTATCTTAAGCAATAAGTAGGTTACAAACATCCTTTTCCAGCAGGAAATACAAGGAGGAAGTTGATAATAATTACCATAGTGAATAATAATGAATTTTGATAACACATACCAAGAAATATGAGTGCTAGATGTAGTGATGGGAGACCACTGCTAGTGAAGTTTGTATGTTGAGCACTTTGATAATGCCTCATTTAAAATTGAACTCTTTGTACAATGGGGATCTGGACATGCACTGTTGGGTATTTAAATACCGTTGGTAAGTGTTTAATTATGAAGGCTGGTTTAGTAAAAGTAATATTCATAGTCATAATTTAGTTTTTAATATTAATTTTCCAGGTTCTTTTTTAGTTTTTTAATTTGCTTTGGTGGCCATCTATATTTTCAGGTGGGTGCATTATTTATTAATATCCAAACATGTGCTATTTACTTTATGAATTCTGCTTTCAGTGGATGTGCTTATGATGGGTAGAAAAATTATAGTTTTAGTAACAATAACACAGTCAAAATTGATTTATTTATTATTTCAAATTAATACTTTTATCAGCACCTCCATTTCTCAGAATTGTAATTGCAGTATTGAGCGCATCTGTTTACCATTATATTGTCCTTAGCATACTTTTTTTACTGACAAATTGCATGGACACATTTTCATACATTGTATCATGAATGCCTGTTGACAAACAAATACACATTGAAATGAATTTTGGTTAGCTTGAAAATTAAATTTGCTAAAATTCAGTGGATTTATGTTTGAACTAACCTATGCTATTTTGTAAATTAAACAAAGTGATATTTTCTATATTAATGCATGGAGTAAAATTTTGTGTTTGTAGTATATGAAGTCTTATGAGAAAATATTTGGACTAATTTATTTGTATAGTTTTTAATTTTATTTCAAATGAAGATGATGTTAATTACTCTGAAGTTTATTAAAAATAATATCCTAATTTGAACTTGCATGTTCTTGCCATACTCCTTTGGGTCTTATAGTGTTTTGTATGCTCAACAGTGATTTATACTGAAAGCAAGATTCTACGCTAAATATGAAAGGAACTAACTAAAATTGAACCTTACTGGACATTTTTGAAGGGAAAAAATTTAAACAAATTCCCATGATTAAGCGCATCTGTGGTTGCAACTGGAAATATTAAGTAGCCATTATGGATCTGTTGTCCTGCAAGAAGCAGATATTATTCACGTGTTATCAAAATACATATTTTTAATATCATATGATTCTTCCTTGCTTCAGTGCATTAAGAATACACACACTAAATAATTTTGGCTCTATTGTGCTCATATGGCACATGAAATTTAATAACTTCTCTCTTTCTGTTGTTTGTAGTTCATTTATATATGAACTGTATTGATAACATCTCTTTTTAGTTTCTCATGTGTGTCACACGTATAAGAAATGTTGTGATTATGGAAAAGATCTATTCTTAAGATTTTGACTCTGAAAGGGTTTTGAACCTCCCCAAAGAGAGGGGGAAAAAAGTTATTTTTGGAATGCCATCTGTGTCTGGATGGATGGATGGTTTTGCGTCTTTTTAGCACCATAACAGTTGGATGTATTTTGTTCATATTCAGTATTTAAGAGTTTCTCATAAGTTGGTGCCTGGTGAATATGAACATTCTTGCTCCAAAAACAGAGGCTCTTCAGGTGGGTCCCAAAAAACAAAATTGGGATTTTCTCTTAAACCAGTCTAACAACTCTGATTTCAGCAGTTTATGAGATGATCTCTGTAAATAAAGTGGTGTGTATGGTATGATCAGAAATATAATGGTACATGCACTAGGAGCACAAATAAGAAATGTCAGTTTTGTCAGAATCACCTTTACCAGTCAGATGGATTCTGTTTTTATTCAGTGATGCACCAAGCAACAATTGATTTTGTTTCCGAGATGTGGTAGTCAGGGCCAGATGCATATTAGAAAGTATGTGCAGTGTCTTTGCACGGATTTATATTCCCCCCCCCTTAACTTGTAATGCCAGTTTCGTGGTAACTGATTAATCATATGTGTATTACTTACATTTGCAAGAATTTTTCAGCTCCCTGACTGTATAATTTCAAATAAACATTTTATTAAATAATCAAAGGTATTTTAATGAGAGAAAAAGTAATTGCTCCTTAATATTTCCAGGATGTTAACAAACATTTGCTGGAAAATAATAATTGACTAGCTTACACACCCACTGTTACTATTGTCTTACTAGCCATGACAACTCTTGACATGATATGTTATGGCCCCTCCCTCTTTCATGTGCAGTAGTGCAGGCTTCAGTACTAAGTCGAACCCTGTGAGTGCACGGGGTCCCTCTCTGCTCTCCCCCATCAGCATGCCTGCAGCTCTATCCTTTTCCAGGTAATACATTACTTTTGTTTGGTTTTAATATTGCTTGGTCCTTTTATTTTCTGTATTATTAATTCAGCCCTGCAAAACATCACTTGCATTTCTCCTGCTCACACTAAGAGCCACTTTCTACACACTTGCTTTATGTAAAATTCAGAAAGGTTGCAAGATGTTAATGTAATTTAGTGCATGTTGTTTTTGGTTATATGGTTTGCTGTATCACAATGTTATAGAGATAAATTTTGCTTTATCATTATTCTGATCATAGAACATGATCTTTACAGCTCAACTTACGGACATTTCTGTTTCAAGAACAAAGAAAAGATTTCCACTTGACACTCAGGTGTACTCTCTTACTTCTTACAACAGTTAAGATTCCATTTTGGAGGCATGTGGTATTTGTAATTGCCATTTTAGCTAAAATTTGAAGGAAATAGCTTTGGGTTTGTTGAGTTTTACCACTTGAAATAGTTGATTGAACTCTATTCATGTGCTGTTTTTTTTTCTTCTTTTTTTTTATCTAGGCATGTCAGTTTGTCATTGGTAAAAAGGACCATAGATTTGGATGTAAAGTACAAAAAACTGCAAACTGAGAAAATTTAAGAGTCCTAATTAAAATGAGACTTTTGAATTGAAATCTAATATGAGAATTCCACTATTCATTATATCAGATTCCATATGCTAGTACATTTATAGTTTTTATATATTATTTAACTCCATTTTTTACCTTTTGAGTTAATAATTATTTCACCATTGATGGTGAATATGTTTACCAGTGATCTGAAAGTATGCATTGAATAGCTTGGGTTAAAATTACACTTTGTCAGACTTGTTCACTTCTGACATTTTAAGTTGACTTCTCCTAAGAGAACATAGTGCGCCCCACACATTATGAAAGTTTGGGTTACGGAATCTGACTCTGACAGAAACTATAAAACATGACCATACAATCCACACCACTGACCATAATTTTGCCCTTATATAAATTTCAGATAAATTTAAAAATGTTCTGGAACACAAAATGTAGAACAGTGACAAATTCAGCGTTTTGTTAAGAAATTCAGGTCGCATATGCACATGTGTCTGTGATGTAGTAAGATATATAGGTAACCATTTTCTAGCATGTGTGTCAGTGACACAGGAATTGCTGGTATTATGCTTGCTAGTCACATGATATTTTACATTGGTCACTGTATTTTCTGTATTTAAGATGCTTGGAAACAGGACATCAAATTCAGGGACAAATATTTTTTTTTATATTTTGCCTCTATAATATTATTTATGATGGGCCACGCAGTAGCATAGTTGGTTGAGTAACTGTGCTACAAGCCGGAATGTCATGGGTTTGATTCCCAATGAGGTCATTTGATATTATCAGTTGACCTAATCCTTCCAGCTGCACTATGGACCTGGGGTTGACTCAGCCTCTAACAGAGATGAGTACCAGGAATCTTCCTGGGGGTAAAGGGCGGCCAGCGCGTAAGGCTGACAGCCTCGCCACCATATATGAGAGTCTTGACGTCTCACAACCCTATGTGCTTCCACAGCCTGTTACAGGGATAGCTTTACCTTTTTAATATTATTTATGATATGTAGAAAGCATTTTTAATTACAACTGTGGACTGAAGAAAATTGCATAGAAATGCATCTCCACTTATGGCATGTGAATGAACAGGAAGACTGGGTTTACATTGCTGAATTTCATAATAGACATATTTTCAAAAACATAGTCTGTCCGTAATGTGGAAGGTATGCCGTATATTCTTACACATAGTGTTATTTTAGGAACCATCCAAGTGCAAACCATTGAGCGCTCTTTTCCCTCTAGTAAATCTTCCAGGATGTGAAGCTTACCACTCACTTCCATATAAGTTAAAATATGGAACTGTACCTCCACTCCCCATATGTCTTCACAGCATGGTGCTTATTTAAGCACACAAACTTTACTTTTATCTTAAATGCAGGCCATACTCATTCTTTCAAGCAGTGGTATTTAACCTTCAAGTTGTGAAATGCTTTGCATGGACCATAAATTAGTAGTAAGAACAGTAGAACCTCCATTTAGGGGTTCTTTTAGAATCAGATGATTTGAGCACTGATCTGAGGAAAATTTTAATTGATGATTGTTTAACGCTGTTATCATTTACTTTGGGTAGTTGAAATCGAGCTTTAAATTGGAGAAAATATTATGCTGGGGAACACTAAATGGAGTTCCACTGTATGTACTATCCTCCATCCATTTCCAGGGTCAAAGAGTAAGCCAAGTAGGCAACAAGCAGATTGCTGCTTGTTGCTTGTGTGGCTTAGTTTTTGACTATGAAAATGGAGACAGTACATTCCCCTGAAATATCAGCAAACTTCTGCCAGACTAGACAATATCACTTCCTAGGAGATTGCATTCTTTGCAGTTACTGCTGTGACAACCTGAAATCTAACATTTTTTAAAGTTTTGGTTCCTTGTGAATGAAAGTTTTGCAGGGCTGTGTTAATTGCTTGTGCTCACATTTCATTAACAGCAGCTCAGTTTGTGCTAAGCTCTCTAATCTAATGGTAAAACAAGTACATGTGTCTGTCTGAGATTAGTAACAACGTGTAGTCAGGTCGAGTTCCATTAAAGCAGGAAATTTTTTCGTCAGTTGAGTAGTTACCAGTTTTCACAGAAAATCTTGTGACATGAAGTCATGTTCCATGTTTATTTATGCAACTTTTAACCGAGTCATAAATTTTAATAATAACCAATTTCAAATGTTCTCACCCTCAGCTTAACCACTACCTGTGAGACAGACCCAGAAACACCCAGTATTACAAGACGGAGTTCCTCTGGTGGTCTTCTCTCACCCGAGGTGGATCTGAGCCCAGGGGCCAAAGGACCTGGGGGAGCCCCTGTGTTGGGTGAGGCAGCAGAACATGATGGCTTCTACTTGCTGAAGAAAGACTCTCAGCGGCGAATGACCCTTTCTAGGGTCCTCAGCCAAGATGAACATAAGATTTGTGAGGTGTGGATGAAGAACATTCATCGGGATGTTGGTGAAACAGTCCTCACAATGGTATGTTTAGATCTGTTCAGCACATTGTAAGGAAAAAAGTAAAAAAGTAAAGCTATCCCTGTAACAGGCCGTGAAGGCCCATAGGGTTGTGAGATGTTGAGGTTCCCACATTTTCTAGACAATTGGCTCATACATGGCGGCAAGGTTGTCAGCCTTATGCACCGGCCGCCCTTTACGCCTAAGAATATTCCTGGTACTCATTTCTATTAGAGGCTGAGTAAACCCCAGGGCCTAGTGCAGCTGGAAGGATTAGGTCAACTGAAAAAAAAAACCAATGACCTCATCGGGGCTTGAACCTGTGGCCTTCCAGCTTGTAGCATAGTGCCCCAACCAACTACGCTACTGCGTGCCCCCAGCACATTGTAGTAAGATTGAGAAACTGTTCATCTTAATGATAAATGAGGAATATTGTGACGACATTGGTTATTGTAAAGGGGAAAAATTATGAAATGTCAAGATGGCAGAATTAAGTCTGCAGGTCTAAAAATGAAATAATTCTTTCTCTAGCTTTGGTTTGAGTTCTCACTCTCTTTGATCATTTCATAGGGTGCCTTGTGTGTTTTTCTTGTTACATATTGTCGCGTATCGGGCGTATAACGCGACAAATAACTTCACGCCGTATTTTATATAGCGACTTTTATTTCACATTCGCTCCTACAATCACCCAAATTACAGATTTACGATTACTGCTATCTGCAGTATCACAATTAGTACACTCCAAATGCCAGAATACAACTGACTGGCTGACTCTACGTCTCGACTCGGCGACTGTTACTTTATAACTGGCGGATGTCACAGTACAACCGTGTTAGGCGGCTGCTACAGTAGAACTCTCTGGTAGCCACATTAGAACTGACTGGTACCAGCTGTGCAGCTCACTTATATAGCTGCAGTGCTTGCCGGTTGCGTAATGAGTGCCACGTCATCGTGTTACGTCACCGCTGTTGATTCGCCTTGCATAGTTACCCGGTTACGGGGCTCGGTTATCTTCGGCTCCGCTCGGCTCTCTTCGGCTCCGCTCGTGACGTCACCGCGCATAGCTGCCAGGATGCGGGGTGATTACTCGCCTATTACGCAAGCGTTACGTTACCGCTGAGGGGGGGGAGGGGAGCGCTGACTCACCCGCCGCGTCACTGCTGGTGTGGGGGGGGGGCTCGGCTTGTCGCAACATGTCACAATATTTTGATTTTGTTACTTTGCTTGAAATGTGGTGTGAACTTAAAATACAAATAACATGTTCATCTGTTAAGACATGCATTGAAAAGATTTAGGACACACACACTAGTTTGTTAATGAAAGTTAAACATGAATATTTCATGTCTAAACTGAAGGGCCTCTGTTTTGTTGTACACCTTGAAATGTTTGCTCTCTCATGCACTTGCAGTGATAGTTGAGAATTACTTTCTTAGTCAGGCAGTGGATTAGTACATGTAGGTAATAACTGATGCGGTTGCATTTGAAACTTTTCATATACAAATCAAACATGGAATGTATTGTTTTTATATAGTGGCAATGTGATAATGTGCTGCCTGGTGAGGGCTATTGCACATCTCAGAAAGTGGTGATACATGAGTATGGAGCAGTGGTAGAATGAACATTAGCATAGGAAAAGTGAAGAAACTAAGAGAAAATGTACTGCAATGCCAACAAAATTTCCTGTGCATAGATGGGGGATGATACTAAAATGTAATGTAACTTTCAAGGTCATCATGCAAATGTTTTGCCCTTCACCAGTTGCCCCTGCTAGGTGATAGTGCAGTAATTTTTTGTGCATTGCTTAAATTTGTGTAAATATCCTGTGTATTATATCAAAAAGTGGTAAAATCCAAAAGGTATTGCCATCTCTTGACAGTATTTTGAAGTACTTGTAATGGCATACCAGCAAATTCATTCAGAAAACTTAACATTAATTTTTTTTAATATTCTGAGTGTACTCAACCCAACAGGGTCACCACAGTACTTGACTGAAAAGTTTAAAGAAATAGCGTATGAGGGCATGGTTTGAATTTATCTGGCTCAGGATAAGGTCATGTCGTAGGCCTTTGTGAACATGGTGGTAATGAATGTTTGGGTTCCATAAAATGCAAGGTGTGGGGTTAATTGCCAAGAGGTGAAAATGAACGCAATGTTTTACAGTCCCACCTGGAGATAGTGATGCGGGGAATGAAGGATTACATTTCTGATCAAAATCGGGAAGTAATTGAAAGTGCTATCCACACGCTGAAGGAAGAGCTGGACTTTGATGCAGCTGCTATTAGCCAGCTCCACTTTGCTATCTACCTCTTTCAAGAGTCTGTAAGTATTTATTTATTTATTTTTTTATTAGTTTTTGCATGCTAAGTTTAAGTGGTGGCGGTAGTAACATCACAGTAAATATAAACTGCTCTTTAGAGTGCCGACTGTTATTGTTCGTGATAATGTTCTTGTGAATTACAGATAACATTTTGTTCAGTATCTGTGCAATAATACAGTAGTGGAAAGCTGCTACATAGGATCTGAGGGTTGCATTGTCTTTATATTGGTTCAGAAAAGTATGTTCTAGGTTTGTTGCCTTGCAAGTACAGTTCTATTTGCAATGATAAATATCAGAAACAGATAATAGTGTCTTTATTTTAATGCTTATTTACTATTAAAACATACATTAAAAAATATTGGGGGCATTTTTCCGGGACTCACGAACAAGTGAACAACTTTTACGTTTAAAGTAATGGGAATATCTTTCTCAATTTACAGATTTTCACCTTGCAAACAGTTTGAGTAGATTGAATTACCTTTGAAAATTGAAGGATACCTGTACTTGTATGTACAAACTCTTAAATGACTTTAATTAATTAAACCCATTGGTGACATTGGTCATTAATCGGGACATTGATCGGGTCTCTTCTCATCCAAACATTACTTTTTAATTTAGTTTGAAGGAAAATTATGCTGCTTTGTTCAGTTATGTCCAGAGTGGGAAGCATCTATAAACACACCAGATCCTTGCTCTTAATTATTTCAGTTTATTGTCGGTGAGAAATAAATTGTGTCTTTGCATTTACAGGTGAATGTTGTGTTACGACTTCACAGCATCAAACCTCATTGGATGTTTGCACTGGACAACCTGGTCCGAAATGCTGTTCAGGCAGCTATCACTGTGTTATCTCCTGGTAAGCAATTTTTTACTTCAGTAGGTACTGTTTACCCTTTTATACCAGTAAACCAAGGCTGAGAATGTGTAACCCTTACCAGAGTTGACAGAGCTTCCGCAGCCATTCTTTACAGTTAGACACATGAATGCTTATAGCTGCTCCGAATAGCTTTGATGCAAACATACTTCTGTGATGAAAACCAAAATGATCCTGGAGTGTTTTGTAAATGTCTCAAATGTTAGATTTTGTCAAAATCCATCATGGAGCTCCCAACTTGTGGACAGACAGACACAGTCTCCCATATATGCAATTGGTTTATGCTTGCTTTAACCTTTATGAGCCAAAATACACCGTGTGGGGACCTTTAAAGTAAAGGCGAGTGGCCGAAGGACACCCTATGGTGACTCGCAGTCCACGCGTGCACACAGTGTTTTAAAATCTAATTTTAAGATAGAAATTCTTGTTCTACTTGCATTATTTTTGGACACCAGCTTTATAAGTAGCCTGTCTTCCCTCCTGCATCATCTAACTGAATGTTGTATGTAACCGAATGCAGAGTCCGACATCGCAATTCATGCACTTTGTCCGTATGTAACTCTGTTTTCCACGTGAAGCGCGCACACAACATTAGTCTCGTATTAGCAGGAAGTAGGCCAGTGATGGCGAGTGGTCTCCTCTATTCCTAACGCTTATAAAACATCACAATTTCAACTATGCACCATGGCCCCATTTTGCATGGAAGAAGCCGAAATTGAGAGGCGTAAATCACACCATTCAGATTGTGTTACAGTTTATTCTGAAGTGGAAGCAAAGGGAATGAGGGGATATTCCAAGAACAGTGCCTCTGTGTGGATAGTGGGACCACAACATATGTGTATAAACAGGCAGAGTTTCATAAGGACAAAGTAGGATAAGAACACTCTTGTATACAGGAAGCCTTGACTGGAGAATGTGCAGTACAAACAAACTTCCTCCCCTTTCGCCAGATAAGACATAGTAAGAGAGAATGTCAGCAGCATGCATTTATATTGCAGAAACGTTTTGTGCAGAAGCTTTATGCATTTTTGTGGACAGACGCTCAAAATTGGGGAAAATTTTTTTTGGAATCAATGTAACAATTTTTACAGATTCTAAAATCTGTAAATTACAATATCTGATTGTATATTCTTTCTAGATAAAAGTAGCGTTTATTTCGTTCGTTTATCACAAAAACTGTAGAAGTCACAGCATTTTCAGTAACATGATTACAATTTTTATTACTCTACAATGGAGGGCATTTAAATTAACTCCGGCCCGCTGCCATTACCGGAATTTAAATGGCCCGGCTGATAAAGGTTAATAAGATGCATACAAAGTGTGCTGTAATATTGTTCTGTCTCCAAGCCAATTGATTTATCTTACTGGTTTTCAGGCCAGGGAAGCGCAATATTTATCAAATATTAGTAGATCCAGATTGTTGGAGTTTGGTCAGTTGTTCAGTTAAATTGCTGCTGGCACTTACCAACACAGTCATTCTTGGCTTCAGATCTCATTGATATCTGGGGTTTGTTGTGTGGTAGTTCTTTATATAGAAACTATGGCCTACATAAATGCATTATATTTCCTAGAAGCCTGTATTTGTTTATTGTATTGTCACATGTAGGTATTTGTTCAGAGGTCTGTTTTGTAGAACAGTGGTTGTCAGACCGTGGCCTGGTAAATTCTTTCTTCTATGAGACAAGGGCCCGGCAGTTGAGAAGCAGTGATGTAGAAGATTAAGTTATTAGTTGGAATGACTGAAAATTAGTATGTCATGCCATACCACTGCAGACCAATTTGGTTATTTAATGTTATATTTAAAAAGTGTTCAGTAAAATCTGTCTGAAAATGCACCTAATTAAAGAAAAAAGCCTGCCTTTGTAAGAAAATATTGCTGGTGAAATTATGTAGTCAGAATTTATGTAAAATTACCTTAATGAGTGGGAATGTTTTAATGCAGAAATAAAGGAGAACAACAAAAATTTAATGTAAAAGAATCTGCTGAAATGTTTGTTGCTTTCTATTCATATACTTTTTTAATCTGAATTTTGCTTTCTGTAATTATTTGATGAAGGCCATTTCTGTCACTGTCAGTCAACAAAATATATATGCAGAGTATTAAACTGAACTACTGAGGAAAGTGAAGGAGCTTTAAAAATGGAAAGAACATTGAAAATGTGTACTGTTCAGTAACTGGATGGTGTACATATATAGCATGAATTTCTAACTTTGAATATGAGTCATTTACATAAATACAAAAAGTAAATACTGTATAACATTTGTTATATAGAAGTACTTTACCTGTTGTTAATTGGAGACCCAACCAAAACAGGAAAGTGTTCAGGCCCTGTGAATTATCATGTTTTACTGCAGAAGATATTTATTGGCCTGAACTACAGTCTGACTGGGAGCCACATATAATGTGTGTAACCTAGCAAACTTGCATACCTTCAGAATAGTGTAGCACTATTATCAAATCTTCATTTGAACATCAGACAGTGATATGAGTAGTCGCAAGCTCAAACAGTCAGGGTAGGACCAGAAGTATTGTGGCAGAGTGGAACTCACAGGTAAAGCATACAACTGGCAGTATGCCCATGCAACATATGACTGTCAGTGTTGACCAATGCTGTTTTGAGACACACAGTGCTCAGTGCTGTTACTAGGGAATGCCAAATCCTGATGGGACTGTAGTTACTTTTCTCATATTCCAGTGAAGTTAAGGAAATTGGCCTTTTGTGCTCTGGTCTGATGTTGTCAGAAGAGAAAATCTTAATTCTTTTGTCATGTTTTCTAGAGCTTGGAGCGCACTTGGGAGGACAGGATCATCCTGATGGGCCAACAGGGGAGCCAGCAGAGGAGGACTCCAAATCTGGAGTTTCGACTGTAAACTCGAATAAATCACAGAAGACTGTTGACAGCTTTCCTAGTTCAGCCAAGTTCCAATTGGAGTATAGAGAACAGATGGGCATCCTAAAAGCTGAGAACATGAGGTAGATAACACGTCAATTTGTAAGATGTGGTGGATGAATTCAAAGAGAGAGATCTGGAAACAGTGTTTTGTGTCGTTTGATGCAGGTTACTACAGGAACTGCTGGATAGTCAGCGCACCTACCAGGCCCTCCTCAAGCAAGGCCTAGAAGAGCACAAACTTCAGATCCAAGTATTATCTCAAATGATGCAACAGTTGAACTTGGTCACTGGTGGATCGAAATCCCGCACAGACACTGGGTAAGCTATGAAACTCTTATTGTGTTTCTTTCAAAGTTTGTGATGGCTTTTCTTTCTTCTTTCTTGACTGGTAAAGTGTTTCTCAGTCAGTGGATGATTTCTTAATTTGCATTGGCCCACTAATTTTAATTATATATATACTTTATAATAGTATCACGTGTTTATGGCTCCATGACCAATAATAACAGATTTTGGATTGGATAATTGGCTGTATTAATGCCTTCTTCTACATTGACTCTTAATCAGAATCAATTACAACAGCTAACAATCAATGACTGCCTAAGACTCACTCCATTCTGACTGGACTATGACTCTTCTTTTCTGGCCTTTTTCTACTGTGACTGCTTTGAGCGATGACTGACTTACGAATGAATTATGACGGCTGACTGAAAAAAGACTAATCTCTTACGACCGAACTCTCCTTTTGTAATGTCGAGGCGAACCAAATAGAGACCACTATCTCAAACAGTTCATCTGTTATTGCGTCTGTTCATTGCTGTGGGAACATGCTTACCGAACTGTTGTCTAGCAATGGAGTATTCTGGCTTTCAGGTGCCATGTCATGCTCGTTATGACGGATATGTGTTTTAGCAAACCGTTGTCTAGTGGTGGACTATTCTGGCTTTCAGGCATCATGTCACAATAGTTTGAAAGTTAACTAGTGTGTAACTAGCAACTTTAATAATTTTTTGTTTCATTTTAACTAAATGGTTTGTGTTGAACATTTTCTTTTTTTTTATTGCTGGTGGGGTAGGACTAAGTCCCTTGTACTGCAGCCGCTTCTGGCTTATTGTACCAGTCCCAGATGATAGGTGAGGGTGATTGTGGAGCAATTGGTGGAATGAAGATTGGCAGGGGAAACTGAATTACTTGGAAGTGCCCCAGTGCCACTTTGTCCACCACAAATCCCACTTGACCAGAACCGGGATCGAATCCAGGCCGGAAGCCAGCGACTAACCGCTTGAGCCATGGCGCAGCTAGTGATGAACATTACTACAGTCTTCAAATGAAATATTACTCTCTGACTGAATTACACTTAATTTACTCTCCATCATATACCAACAGAAAATTTCTGGCAATTTAAAGTACTTCATACATGTTTATTAATAATCTCTAATTGAAAATGTTCAGTATGGTGATTATGTCATCCTTTTGGTCTTAATACTGCATAAAGGCATTTATTTATATATCGTAAGTATATCTGTTTAAATATGGTAGTAGCTATTGATTTGTAGGCTTTACGCTGAGCAATGTGGGACAGAGAAGGTATTGGTTCTTGGAAAACTCAATGCTTCAGTACCAAACTATGAATTGGAAAAGGTGGAGAACCAGTAGACCAACAAAAGTGATTGCATGAGCTCATTCATTTATTATGATCATCTGGCTAATAAGATATTTTATGCTTGAGCAAGAAACAACAACCTGTAGTATAGAAAACAGAAGAGCTGAGCTGTGCTCAAGCTTCACACAGCTTTCCAGGAAAAGCTTATGTAAATCTCTGCATATTCTGAGACTTGTGTTCCAAGGGGTGCGGAGTATGTGGTTAACTTCATGTTCCAGCCACTTTGCACCAAGTGAAGAGACTACAGTACCCATGTAGTGGGAGACTTGTTTGTTCCCAGAGCCAGTGAGGGTATTGCTGCCTTGCCACAAATCTAACCCAAGCTTATAGCCACGCAGCTCTAAAATCAGAATTATGATAGATTATTCAAGAATAATGTATCCAAAGTTACAGTTTTTGTAGTGCAGCAGAAGGGATCAGAGTCCTAAACATGGCATTGGCTTTCAGACTGTGTCATTCGGAACGCATTGATACCAGAACCTTAATATTTTGATATATGTAAACATCTTTCCATCCCCAGAACTATAATATTTTGTTTGAAAAGGTTCACATTTCAATTTTTCTTCTGTTTCAGTCACTGCATACAACCATTAGGGTTATCACTAGTAGTACTGCATTCTAGATATCATGGATAATGCTTCCCTCCCCGTCCCCCCACCAACAAAGAATGTATGAGAAACATAATTCTGTCTGAAAAGGTGTTTTCACCTTTGCAAAATGGCAGGGCTGTGTGGATTGTGTGAACCTTGTATGCTTGATTCTGAATGTGTTAAATTAATTAATTAGCAGTACTGTTTCAGCTGCAGAAGAAAAGTTATGGTAATGACTATTGAGTCCTTACAAAAGAACTGGTGGTTCTTTTGAAGACGAGTCCTACATCATCTCCAACTTGCATCCAAATCCATTGTCTCCAAAGGAACCTTAAATGAGTATTTCACTCTTCAGACTGGTTGAGTGGTTTGATTGCTGCCTTTACAGCTACAGTTCCCAGCAGTCTGGGTGCTCCTCTACCGAAGGTGCAGGTCATATGAGTCTCCTTCCACAGATCAGCATCACTGATAGCTCAGCTGATCCGAAGCTTATTGAGTGGCTTCGAAGTCTGCATCTTGATCAGGGTTCTGTTGATAAGGTAAGTGGTACTACCTGGTTATGTCATCTTGTGTGGAAGCTTTCTCTGTCCTTCTTCGACCTCCATTAGCACTCCTATATCTGTGTCCAGTGTTGCCATTCAGCCTTTTGTATATCTTCTCTCACTTGATCTCTTCACCTAATCCTTGTCTTCTGCAACAGGTAAAGGTAAAGTTATCTCTGGTCTTAATTAAGCACCATGCCATGATGACATATGGGAGAGTGTTGGTATAATTCCATGGTTCTTAACCTCAGCAGTATATGGAGGTGTGTGGTCAGTTACATGCCCCTTCTGCTTTACCGCAGGGGAAACAGCCACTGGTACCCATTGTGTAGGAGACTGGGTGTGCCATAGGACTAGTTTGGATGTCACGAAGAAGAGAAAAATCTCTTGCCCCAGCTGGGTATTGAACCCTCACTCCTCAGTTATCCATTGCATAGCCTAGTCACTATGCCAGCTGAGCTAGCCTTTCCATAATAGTCATATCCTAGTTACATTAATTTCAGCACCATTAAATTAGTACCATTATGTTGTGTTTGCGAGTGAACCGTGGTACTTATAATTTTGACTGTGGTGATTTTTATTTTCTGTGAAGACTTCTAAAGCCTGTCTGAATTTATGTGACAGATTTTAAATTGAATTGAAATTCTATCAAGCAGATTAAGCTGGAAGTCTTTCTGTTCAAGCGATATCATGTTATAGTGTAAAATGTGGTTAGTGATACAGGTGGTGTGAAATGAATCACTTTCCATGACATTTGTGTTACAAAAGTCCTCCTTGCTCCATAACACATGTTGAATCATGGCTTTGTATGAGCCTGAGTGTTGACTACACGTGAAAGCCTCATTAATTTGGTCACATGTCACACTCCAGTAAGTGTAAATATTATTCAGAGGTATGTTTTGTGATAGTTTGATATTATAAAAAATGCATTGCTTATAACCACTGACTAAAAATAATATATTTCCAATCTTCTTATAATTTCCATCCTAGTTCCTAAATTTTTGGGGATGGTTGTTTCGATCTATGGAAAATTCATTGAGGCCTGCAATAAGGTGTCACTAACCTCGTGAGCCCTTCATATAATTACACATATTTTGAAGTTATTCAGCCATTTTCACATTTTCAGGTTAGAAATCCTATGACAGTACATAGTGACATAACCCAGAAGTCAAAAATATGAATTTTTTCTACTGTGAAAACCTCAGATGTTGTAGATATGCTTATTACCTTATTTATTTGTGTAAGTTATGCACCTTTTTCGATGAGATTATTTGGACCTAAGAGAGATGAAGTGACGGAAGGGTTGAGAAAACTGCATAATGAGGAACTTCATAACTTGTACTCTCCACCAAGTATAATTAGAATGATCAAGTCAAGGAAGGTGAGATGGGCAGAGCATGTAGCACAAATGGGAGGAAAGAGGAATGCATATAAGGATATTGGCGTAAAGCCAGAAGGAAGGAGACCACTAGGAATACCAAGATGTAGGTGGGGGATGATATTAAAATGGATCTTAGAGAGATAGAATGAGATGGTATGGACTGGATTTGCCTGGCTCAGGATAGGGATCAGTGGAGGGCTCTTGTGAACACGGTAATGAATCTTCGTGTTCCATAAAATGTTGCTAAGTTCTTGAGTAGCTGCACAGTTTGTAGCTTCTCAAGAAGGGCTCAGCTCCAGGAGTGAGTGATGCACCTTTTTACCCCATAGATTGTGCCTAAAGTTATACTGTATAAAATATGCAACTACTGCTCATCGAATTGTAATTTTACTTGTTAGATGGAGGTGATAACAGTTGAATGTGTTTGTGGTACAGTATGAATATTTTCCCTGTGGATTCCACCACATGATTCCTTGACGGACACTGAGGTAAAGAAGCCCCTAGATGAAATTGATGATAATTGTCATGGAAAATGTGATTGAAGCTGAGTGTGATATCACATTGCAGGATGGATACTTGCTCGGATTGCTTCAATCACATGATCCCATAATGAACATTGAGACAAAAATGCCCCTTGCTAAAATTTCAACTGACACATAATTTCTGTGGAAAGTTCAATTCAGTTTGAATGCATTGTGGCAACATGGTATGAATATTCATGCCTGCAGATTCTGCTGAGTAATCCTTGATTAATACCGAGACAAAAGTAGTCCTTAATTAAACCTCATCTAATGCATAATTTTTGCAGAAAAAAAAGTTTCCCAAGTCCTTGTGCCATAATGTTTTTACATTGATCTTTATTTCTTCTTGAAATTACTTGTTTAAAAGCAGGATACATTATGTGCAGGTAAAACTTATGTGAGTGTAAATACAGTATTTCATTATATCATCTTTAATAGAGAACTGTGTTATTGTTGAGTGCCCTAACCCAGTTGTGTATGCATTTCCTCAGTTCCTGTTTGAAGAGTACTGCCTTGATGATGTTTTGCTGTATCTTACCCGTGAGGATCTCAGAAGGTTATATCTCAGGTGAGGATTTTGCCATAAAATAAAGCTATTTAACCCTTTTGCGCGGTTATTTAAATTCCGCGGCCGCGTCTCCGGCGGTAATATATTCAGCCGGCCATTTAAATTTTGCTCGAAAATGATTTATTCATCATTGTTCTTAAATTCTATGAGATAGGAACATGAAACTTTCACTAAAATGATCTTAAAAGGTGGTTTTATAACCTTACCTTATAATATGAGCGCCCTGTATCTCGGGAATGGAAGCAGGTTGTTTAGTATCTGAGCAGTGAATGGTACGCCTTGAAGGATGAAACTTTCACTAATTTGATCTTAAAAGATGGTTTTTATAACCTTACCTTATAATATGAGCGCCCGTTATCTCGGCAATGGAAGCAGTTGATTTAGTAGAATTTGAGCTGTGTAAGGAAGGCCTTGAAGCATTCGTATAACCCAACGGTGCCCCCCATTCACCACTCCAATTTGTGTATCTTTTCTTTGGCCCACACATCTGTGCGGCCATGCCTTCTTCCCCGTGAGGGGTATAGTTCAAGGAAATGTCTTTCCGTGACCCGTTTAGTTGCCAGGTCAGCTGTAGTAAATTCAACGTTACGAGTTATCATAACAAGGGGTTGTTGCTATGCCTTTGATATTCCATCCATTTTGGCGGCAGTAGATGTAGGGGTGACCACAGAATTCATGAAGTTATTCTAAGAACTGTCTGGTATGTAGTGAACGAAAGCAGAGCTTAGCTGGCTCAAAAAAATATTTATGGTCATCCCTCGAAACGACCACCAAGGTCAGTACGATAAAATGGCGTCAACTGGAGCGATAATACATGAAGGAATGAGTTCTTTTCCCACCCCACACACACCAGTATCGTCATAGGGGGTGACCATAGTGTTCTGCCTTAATTCGTGGCGTTTTTCTAAGAACTGGGTGCTATGTACTGTGCGAAATCAATCGATGTTGCAAGAATAAATTTTTGTACATCCATCTTCTAAGAATTCCAATTGAGTGTGTTAGTGTGGCCAGCTCAGGGCAATATGATATTATAAACACGGCACATATCACGTCTCTGCTGTTTATAAGTTCATAGGAAACAAAACAGGCCTTTCAGAACAGTAGAACGAGTAACCTCTCCCAAGAGCAACAGGAACTTTGCTGCAAGACAGGCATATGTAACGATCACTTAGCGCAGCTAAACTCCTGTCGTCGTTCTCGTTGTTCTCCTGACAACAGGCCAGCGAAAAATCTAACAATCTACAGCAAAACCATCAAATATTATGGGCGTTATAACGTAGGTATGCAGCTGGACGAAACATACACGTCAAACCCCCCCAGACGATTTAAATACCTGACGAAACATACACGTCAAACCACGCTGAACGGTTAATACTCAGCGACTGGAATATTTGAGTCTTGGTGTTTACACTGGGATGTATCATTTAGGTGTGCCATAGAACTTGCTTATAATGAAGGTACTCTCTAGAATGTACTGCCGCAGCAATGATGTCCTGGTACATCATTGGTCTAGGAAATGACTTTATGTTTTTTTAATGCAGAAAGTAATGTCCATCTCATTGTTTTGTTGATATCTTGTCTCTGTTTTTTGTAAAGATACTGCCCTGTATTGTGGCTACAATTTCATTATTTCAGATATTTTTACTTTGGAGTTATATGTTCTGTGCATAACAGTTGTCCAGACTGAAGTACATACTGAAGAGAATGCTATTTTGATAAAGTTTAAATATTTCCTGAACTTGCACGTTGAGAATCTTAGCCGCTGTTGTCAGCCACGCTCTTCATGTTGTACACGCTGACACAGTGTTTTAGTAACGGTAGCTCTTCACCAACTCATACTTCATATTTCAACCCCTCAGACTGGTTCCCAATACTCGTATATGCTGCTTACAACCTTTCTCCTAGAGCGGTTGTACATGTACAGGTACACTGTGTGCAGCGTCTTAAGAAAATCTTCACAGCTACTTTTTGTTAAGAGATATTGAAACTGTGTGAATTGCAGCATGTCCCACAGACTTTAATGCCTCATGTTATCTGCTGTCTTTCTTTATACAGGCAGCAGTCTTCATGCTTTTCCTCAAAAATATATTTAATTCACTTGGATTGTTTACAAAATATGGGAAATTTTGAACAGCTTCTGAGCAGGTTGCTACACAACTGTTTAAATGCTGATTGATAGAGTAGTGTAATGGTGGTTTAAAAACTGGCTTGAGATGTTAAAGCCACAGTGTCACAAATGAAAAGGTGTTTTATGATTTTTTATATAAATTCACTGTTATGTTTCTTTAGGGGTGGAGTTGAACTGCGGGTGTGGAAAGCTGTGTTAAAATGGCGACGAGAACACCGATCACCCTCAAACTCTGATCATGCAGGAAAGAATCACAGGTTGTCCCGAAATTCTACTCATGTAAATACAGATAAACTAGCAGCTTTCAGAAGAAACAGCAGTGAAAGTCCTGATGTTACTGATTGATTGTTTCAAAGTATTCAGTTTAACGTATTTGCTGTTGATGTGAAAGATAATGAATTATACTGCCATGAGACACTTAAGCCAGTTACATTTCAATTTGCTGTCTCAGAATGAATTAAATATATCTTGTAGTTGTAATTTAGAGATGGTTTGTTTTCAGCTGCTGAAACTGTTGTACAAGAAGTAACATGAGAAATGTTTAGTTTGCTTATTTAGTAGGCAAGACTAGTCACTTAGCAATATATATCATGCAGGACAATAATTTTAATAAGAGCACTCTGTGTAGGGGAGAGTTTGTATATATGTAAAGATTAAGTAAATGCTGCCTTAGCATTATAGATATGCTTTACTGAGCTAGAAGTCCTAAACAGTATGAAAATGAGGCTTCCTCCCAGTCCCAAGAAATGAAAACAGTTTTTAAACGAGTCATTCCATAAGCTGATTGCTTTTCCTCATGAACTATATTAAATTGTGTTCAGTGGATGCTCAAAAGTTATTTTGGTGATGCTCAGTGTTAACTGTTGTTTTGTTTGCATTATTTCCCCTTCATATGTTTGTACATACATTGTTTCAGGTATAACCTGGAAAGATGATTAGACATGAACATAGTTATAGAGGAAACATAACAGATACCTAGAAACCTGTGCAATACACATAACAAAAATTGTGGAATTTTCGCATAATCGCTTTTCCCTTTGATGACATCACAAAAAGAACAATATCTGACTATGTTAGATTTAAATTTTTCTGATGTGTATTTCAGGTGGTATTTGCTTTGTTTCTAACTCCATTCTCTCTTTACACAGTGTACATTAGAGTTCCTAGCTTAATATGTTTAACGTTCTTTATACAGTTAATCCTATTTTTAAAGGAATGTTTCAGTTTTATTTTGATGAGTGTATGTAAACTTAATAAGATGAGCAGGAGGTGTAACTGTATATTTCTCTCTTGTTGAAAGTTTATTCTTTGTAGGTTTTGGATAATGAGGAAAAGATGGTACATAAAGGTGGTAAATATCTTCCCCCCCCCACTATGAACAGCCAACTTGTCAGCCTTATGAGATTTGCATGTATTTGGGTCTGTGTCTTGGTGTGTTGCATGTGGTATCTGGTATAGGATGTACTGTGATGGTTCATTTGTTTTGGAATGACTTGTGTAATTTTCTCTTCTGTGATTTTCTTTCAGCTCTTCAGTAGATGATGGGTTTTGTTGTGGAACGTATTTATTTCTCATTGCACTTCTGGTATTGTATCTGTTACATTTTTCTGCTTCTTCTTCATCAGTGGATAAGTCTTCATAATAGAGAAAACAGATTGTTTCTCACACAATTTTTCCCCCCACAGTAGATCTGTCAAAGTTAAAGCAGGAAGAATTTAAGAGTGAGAGTTAGAAAAGAGAATAACATAACCCATGACTTTTAACAAGTTCTCTGTCTTTTTCACTGAATAATCAGTTGACAAAGAAGTGGTTATATATGCATAGGTATGTATGCTGGACAACTCTACTTGAAAGGTTTGTGGGATAATGCCTTTTGTGCTGGGATGAATCTAGGCTTGTGCAGGCTTGCATGGGAGAAGTTAGACATATATATATATATAACAGTATCATTGATTTTATATTAGTTAAAGATTTGTTTGAGAGTTTAGAATTCCCATAACATAAAGCACTTGGCATACAAGACTTTATATGTGGCTGATACTTATCCTCAGTTTCTGTACNATCTAACAATCTACAGCAAAACCATCAATTATTATGGGCGTTATAACATACGTGTGCAGCTGGACGAAACATACACGTCGAACCCCCCCAGACGATTTAAATCCCTGACGAAACATACACGTCGAACCACGACAACGGGTTAAATGTGAAAACAAAAAGAATTGATTCATATTTTTAACAAAATAAAGTAACATAATTAGCTGCAGTGAGTGAGTGTTTTCTTGTTCTTTGCAGTTAATAGCAGTAATGAATTTTTCATAACTATTGTCATGTGCACCAGCACTTTCAGATTAAGTAAGCAGGACTTACCACCAAAATAATACTAATACATATCTGAATGGATTGAGAATTAGGTTTCTTCTTAAAATTTTCTTAATTGTGACAAAAGTTTCTGGTTCAGTGTTGCTTTGATGCATCTGAATTTTTGTTCAGGAATGATGTACTCAAATTATCAAACAGGTTTTATATGTTCATAAGATTCTTCTTTCATTTATGACATGTGACTCATACTGGATGTACTAAATTTCAGTCCAAGCTTGTCACACAAGTGGAAGTCAAACCTGCACACCCCTAGATGAAACCCATATTCTTTGTCATTGTTATGCTGTCTTTTATGTCGGTGTTTGAATTGTTCTAATTTGTTCATAAGTGTGGCATTCTGCTGCATTATTAAAAATGATAAAGACCATGCAGTGATGTGGTGTACCACAAATTAGATGTCTTTCACAAAATCTATAATCATTCTTCTCTAATGGTACTAGATTTTTGATTAAATTGTTTGATATTGGTTAATACTCTCATTTACTTCAGTTAGCTGTGAAATAGTAATGGAAAATGTGATTTATGAAATAACTTTATTTTGTGTGTGTAAATTGAAAAATTGTTAGAAGGTTGATATTTGTGAATATACGTGTAGATTAAACACAGGTCAGTGTGTGTTAAGTTTTGATAATTTAATTTTGCTCTATATGGAAATGTCTGATTTCAGTAATGATCAGAAAAATGGTGTATATATTCAGCTTTACAGTAGAGCAATAAGAACCATCAGTTGTAATTGGAAAACAGATATTGGTATTATTGTAGATGACTTATTTTATCAGAAAACACCATAGCATGTAATGGGCTGCTGATAGATTTTGCTTGTGCAGGAGAATACAGGAAAATGTTTGTGCTATAGTTATTTGCTCCTGGAACTATTCTGTTTCATGCTAGTGGTGATGTTTAACACAGTTCCATACTGTGTAGTGATACTTTTACCTCAATGCCGAATTGAAAGAATGAGCAGATTTTCTAGTAAAATTCATACTTTTTTTTTACATCTTTTTGTTCCTCCTCCCCAAGAATATAAATATGCAAACTGTGCAACTTTCGGTTCCTGATCTAGTTAGTTTCAACTACTAATATTGAAAAATATAAATAAAAATTGTTTAAACCGCATGTGTAGCAATAAGGGTGTAATACGTGTTGTATTATTACATGTTGTGTACTTCAGAAGTGAAGTATTCTGTGTCCATTGTTAACAGTTTATTGTGGCTGTCTCCTGCATGATTAGGGAAATGAAAGTATATAAATATGAGATAAACAGATACTTCCATTTCTTAATGTGCCATGATTCATACTTTCTAATGACAGGACTTTTGTCATGTTGCTCAGTGCACATTTAATGTGAGACATGCACTGAGAAGATGAGTCATGTATTTCAGTACTCCAAATTCATCATTTCCTGGTTGCATACCGCATGATTTTGGCTCTGTGGAGTAAATGAAAAAAAATTTTTTTTGCTTCCTAAGAGTTGCTAAGATTTTCTGGAAGCCATCCAGTTCATGTTCTCTCAGTCAGAATACATAGTGGCCTAAGAGTCAATTAACCAAAACACTCTCTTGTATTAATAGGAATATTGAAATATATAAAGGCATAATTTGTAGAACGGTATCACAGCATTGTAAGTTGTGTGTTGAACATGGAGGATCTCATTTTGAACAGCTTATATAAATTCAGTAAGTAATAAAGACATTTCTGATGTATTTTAGTGAATATTTTACTAACCAATTAACTGACTTTCAGGCCACTCTCTGCAAATAAAATGAGCATGATGTTACATGTTGATCTTACACATTAGCAGGATGGTGTTTTTCGAAATGTGGAAGGAATATGACCGCCTCCATGGTCTAGTGGTCAGAGTTCCTGGCTACAGATCCAGAGGTCCTGGGTTCGATTCCTGACGCTACGAAATTTTCTGAGAAGTAGTGGGTTTGGAACAGGGTCGACTCAGCCTCAAGAAGATAATTGAGGAGCTGTTTCAAGTAAATAGTGGCTCCAGTCTAGAAGACCGAGAATAACGGCCGTGGGATCTGTTGTGCTGACCACATGACACCCACTATCCACAAAAGTTGGCACTAACTTCGCCAACATGCAGTGGTCACTCGATCAGTATAGTTCGCTTGTCGACTTCAGGCCACGGAGTTTGTTTTGTTTTGGAAGGAATAGTTAAGATGAATTAAAGCATTTTTTCAGTGTCTGTATGAAATTGGCTAAATATATATCACCCTGAACTCAGAATTTGATGTAGTACACATGACGAGGTTTGGCCCCTTGAAGTTCTTTACCGAGTCATATTTGGCATGGTATCCCACAATAAGTTCAAACATGGATCATATAAGAAATTCTGGAGTTCATTGTGATAAATTATTCACTAATTGGAAGCTTGTTATGTAGCGTTGTTTTTTTATGAAATGGATTTCTATGCACAGATATATTGTTTTATTTCATGCTCGACTGAAACCTCTTCTACAGAAATGCTGCTAAAGTAGAAATATTTTTAATGTGCTGAATACACATTCTTTGCAATTATGAGAAACAGAGTTAGCTTAGCCAATAATTGAGACTGGAGTTTAGTGACTAACCAATAAAAATGCGTGCATCTAAATTATGTTTTGAATATTGAACATTAGTTCAATGGGATTAAGAGTTTAAGGTATGAAATATTATTTTTGAGCATCATGTTGTATTTGTCAGTCATTGTATTTGTGTATATGTATATTATATTTTGCCATTTCACACCACAGCCTTATATATGGTTATATACAAGATCTTATCTCTTCACTACATGTTCCAACCTTGAAGATCATCAGACAAATATATATGTATTCTAATGAAACTGCTGTTAATGCTTATGTTATTGATATTGGTCAGTATACTCATGTGTTTTGTACTGAACTTAAATTGAAAATAAGATCTAAAAGTTTGTGATGATGGTACATTAGTACAAATATGTTTTTGGACATTATCCATTGTCTTGTCTTTATCTAAAAACCGTCCTGTTTATTTTTCAAAACACAACGTTTCGGAGACTGAATTCTGTCTCCATCTTCAGGTAAAATCTCATTTGGGCCCAATCGATAGAGCTAGTCCGGAAATAGGGACTAGTTTTATACACAAGCTTTTAAATTTAGGTTCAGTATGAAACTCATAACTATATTTGCCAGTATCAACATAAACAATAAACATCAGTTTTCTTAGAATACATACATTAACCTGATGACAACATTTCAGGTTAAAACATGTAGCTAAGTGTGATAAGGTATTGTATATGCTTTGTAATTCTGTACATGGTTGTGTGAGCTGATGAGTTTAAGGATGGAGCAATTGCTTTACAAGCAACTGTGTGAGCTTAAAATTTTGTGAAATGCTAACAAATTAATGCACTGGAATGGATATTCAGTTTTCTTATAAACTGTTTTCAGTAATCAGTATTTTTCATGAAATTTCTGAAGTTTTCTTTCATATGGATATCATATTAAATCAGTATTTAGAAAAGCCATTTGTATAGATGGGAATTTTTAGTATTCTCACAGCGATTCAGAGAAATGTGAGGGTATTATAATATACAAGAAAGTAAATGCTTTGTAAATGAAAAGTACTTTACCCCTGTGGTTTTGAATTGTTCTTTTGCTCCAGTCCACTCTATAAAATGTATGGAACAATTTAGAGGGAATTTTATATTATGTATTACTGTATGTAATGTTCCTCCGCAGGTCCCACAGCTGGGGTACTGCAGAAACTGACTGCCTTACTGATTTGTTATTTTATGCGTGTGTTCTGTGTTCACTTTTGTATAGGGTAGTCTTAAACATTTACTGATTTGTGGCAGTATACACTACGAATATGGAGCAAATACAAAATTGAGGACGAATATTGGTACTTGACCTGATGGACAGTGAATGTCAGTACCAACCCTACTGATTGTTCTGCATATGGCTAACTAGTCTTCCATATCTTGCTGCGCCTGGGCGAGAACATCTACAACCACATATTCATTCTTTGCTTCAGACAGGCCGTGCCATAGCTCAAGCAGTTAGTCGCTGGCTTGCCACCACGGCGGCCCAGGTTCAATCCCGGGTCTGGTCAAGTGGGATTTGTGATGGACAAAGTGGCGCTGGGGCGGGTTTTCTCCGAGTACTTCGGTTTCCCCTGCCAATCTTCTTTCCACCAAATTCTCCATCATCATAATCACCCGGGGTAGGTACGATAAGCCAATCAGTGGCTGCCATGCCAAGTGGACCCAGTTGGACTCCACCCCCCACTAAGCAATTTTTTTTTATTTGCTTCAGACAGTTGAAGTAATTGATTTAAACCATGTTTCATATAGGCCCTGACCTAATTAGTGGAGTGGAGTCCAGAGATCAAGGTAATCAAACCCTATTCCAATCCACTACTCTATAAAGTGCTTGTTCAGTCACTTGCTGACAGTCTCTGCAGAATAATGTGGAGCTCCATCAAGCTGACAGATGGCTAACAAACCCAGCATATCCAAGGAAATGTTTGATGTCACAATCAATTCCAGGGTGAAACAACTTATCAAATGTACACATTGTGTAACAGTTGTAGTGCATTTGCTCACTTTTGCATAGTTACGATACTTTGAAAACTGCTAAACTGACAGGTAAATAATGTTGGGAATATATGTATTCCATTTTTCTATAAAACTTCTGTT